AATTCTGGCCCTTCAAAATTTCTTTTATTTGGTGCTAGAATTGTTTTTAAATTAATTCATATCTATTCTTGATGGTCTGTTACTGATCTGCAAGTCTGAGTAGCTTATGATTTGGGGAGTAGAAAAAATATTCTAATAGGGAAAAAACTGTGCAAATGGAAAAACTGTTAATTACATGCCCATTAGTTATATGCCTTATAATAAATAAAAAGGATTTAAATTTTCATTCTTAGAAAAACCGATAAAAAATGTTATACAGGTACGGGCATATTTTGTTTTACTGCACTGTGCTTTATTGCACTTCACAGGTATGTTTTTAACAAACTGAAGGTTTGTGGCAACCCTGTGTCTATCAAGCCTGTTGGCACCATTTTTCCAACAGCATTTGCTCACTTTATGTCTCCATATCACATTTTGGTAATTCTGGCAATATTTCAACTTTTTCATTATTATATTTCTTACGGCTATCTGTGACCAGTGATCTTTGATGATACTACTGTAATTGTTTTGGGATGTCACAAATATGCTCATATAAGAAAACAAACTTAACTGATGTTCTGACTGCCTCACTGAACACTGACATGTTTACCACCTCTCTCTCTCCTTGGACCTTTCTAGTCCCTGAGACACAATACTGAAAATAGGTTAATTAATAACTCTACAATGGCCTCTAAGTATTCAAGTAAGTGTAAGAGTTGCACGTCTCTCACTTTAAATCAAAAGCTAGAAAGGATTAATCTTACTGAGAAAGGCATGTTGAAAGCTGAGATAGGCTGAAAGCTAGGCATCTTGTCCCAAACAGCCAAGTTGTAAATGCAAAGAAAAAATTCTTGAAGGAAAATAAAAGTGCTACTCCAGTGAACACAAAAATGATTAGAAAGCAAAAGTCTTACTGCTGATAATGGAGAAAGCTTTGTTGGTCTAGATGGAAGATCAAACCAGCCAGAACATTCCCTTAAACAAAAGCCTAATCCAGGGAAAGGCCCTAACTCTCTTCAACCCTCTCTGAGGGTTGAGAGAGGTGAAGAAACAAGTCTGAAGCTAGCAGGGTTTGGTTCATGAAGTTTAAGGAAAGAAGCTGTCTCCACAACATCCAAGTGCAAGATGTGGCAGCAAGTGCTGATGTAGAACCTGCAGCACGGTATCCAGAAGGTATGGCTAAGACAGACAACGCAGATGGCTACACTGAACAACAGATTTTCAATGTAGATGAAACAACCTTTTGTTGGAAGAAGATGCCTTCTAC